GGCCACCACTACCAATGCCACCGCCACCACGAGCAGCGGCACTACGGCCAGTCGTATCGCTCTCTGGATACTGGCTAGCAGTCGGTCGGGTTACCGCCGGATAACTCGCCCCTCGTCCTTTCTACCCGACACCCCTAAATGGCCGATAATGTCAGTTGGACGCGCGGACGACCTCCAGGAGGCAAACGTCTGTACGCGGACCGCACACGCGGTGCCCGACGAGCATGGAACAATTCCGTAGCTCGCTGCGGGATCTGCCACCGTGAGCTGCCCTATCTACGCGCCTGTCTGGCTCTCCCAAGCCTCCAACGACGCCCCCCTTGCGTCCCGCCGACGCGACGCCTTCGATACACTCGCCACACGAGCGTATGCGCGATCCTGACACACGCGTGTCCGTGACACGGCCCGGCATGCGCTCTTCTGAGCCCGCCTCGTATCGCACGCGCTCATCTAGGGCCACATTTCCTCCAACCCCGGTGTCGCTACTCGGCAACGGTCTAGGGAGTTTCGTCACGGGATACCACTGCGGAGGGAATGGGTTTGAACGTTGCAAACAGTTCACATTTTCTTTTTCTCTGTTTTGACTTCTACATCTGGCGCTTCTTTCTTTTTTTGATATTGAAAAGAGCTGTACTAAAAACTTGTATGATCAACGTATATGTCTTCATTGCTTGACTCATTCTTTTGCAGAACTAACTGTAGAATATATTTCTCCTTACTAAAAGAATATATCTACATCCTTTTACTTACTGAAAAATATTTTTATTTACTCCTCGACTTCAGTCACTTGTAAACCTGTCTATTAAAAACATATTGCTAAATAAAATTACTTGCTAAAAATTTTTGTTCAATCTCAGTGTCAAAAATTCCTTTCTTTTATATATTTTATTTGTAACAAACTGCTTTGCCACTGAAATTGAACAAAATTTTTAATTTCAGGTTGGTTTGAAAATAAAATTTGCATTAATATTGATACAATTTATGACACATACAAATGTATCGCAAATTCATGTGAAAGAATAAATAAAAAGACATCGTTTATTTTACACATATTGAAAATGAAATTACTTTCCCGCCAGTCCAGTAGCGCGCATTTCAATTAGCCTTGATGAGCGGTTGAAAGTTACTGTGCGTTGAGGTGAAAGATGATGCTAAAAATTGTTTACATTACGATGCTGACGTTGTTTTTACTATCTTATAATTTTTACGACTTCTTATATCATGTGTACGTTCTAATCTGTTTGTTCAGTGTTATCAGAATTTGCAACTGACTTGAAACACGTGAAATAGTTTTTAAATTTTTGACGTACAACTATCTATTTTTAAAATATTTTTAAAATTCAGATACACATTTTAAATTGCGTATCGAATGCTTGACGTGGCTCCATATTGATCTGCAATCTAGGGATTTTGTACAGTAGACGACACATAACCTATAAATACCGTCCAACTACTGTATTAATTGTACGTTGTGAGACGCTTCTTTTTTGAAGTTTGCAATATATTCAATAACGCGTGTAAACAATTTTGCTATGTTCAGTATATATAATATTTCATTTACAACCAGCGTAACTAACACGAACCTACAATATACTTTCATTCTCGTATAATCTACTGTTCAATTCCGTTGATAATGCAGCTGGTTTAATGCAGTACATATCTCGAAAAGTGCGATAAAATAAGTAGAAATGACGCATAAGAAATCCTTCAATGAATGACCTTGCGTGCAAGGTTAGATTTCTCCGTCGATTCTTATATGCGCGGTGGAACGTGAAAACAGTACAGTCGGTATTCCAGAACAGTGTCATGGCGCATCAACAATGACAGAAAGTGTGTTCCTTACTGACGAATCCGGTACTAAAGTTAATATGTGGGGTGGTTTTCGTTGTAACAAGAGCTTCCTAATATTGTTCCTGGTTCATGTGATCGCGTTTCAATGTTTCGTATGTAAGTGTTTCTCTAACAACACGTACTTCGTGTCTTTACCTCGTCTATTAGGTACAGTAGCTTGCGCATATGTATAATCATCGCATGCTGCAGGTCTCGTGTTCTGCGCATGCGCCCCGCGAAATTCGAACTGATTATCTTACCAAAATGTGTGTCTTTTTATTTGTATGTGATTTTCGTTACAAATATTCCAAGAAATTGTTTTCTTCTTATATTTTAAAGTTAGTTGAAGGATTATTATGTTGGTTTTTCTTTACTGAACGATGATAAGTGTACAAGTTGTGTTGACTTTTCTTTCTATTGAATGGTTTTAAGTTCATGTTCTTCTCTAGTTTATAAATCACTTAAGTTTTCTAAGGACCAAATTCCCAAATTTCTACGCTTCCAACTTATAATTGTATTTTGTTTAACAGATTATAAGGAGCATCACAAATGGCAAGAGCTGAGAGACAAAGTGGAGTCGATGATCATCGAGCAACGAGACACATACGGGCTAACGTACAATATAATCAAGAGGCTGGAAGGGCACGGGGTGTTGAGTGGGAACAAACAGGAACCATTCGATAGGCCTACAATTTACGCCATCACTCCAACGTTCGCACGCCCCGTGCAAAAAGCCGAATTAACCCGATTGTCACAAACGTTCCTACACATACCGAATTTCCATTGGATCCTGGTGGAAGATGCGGAAAGGAAAACGAAGCTAGTTACCAGGTTCTTAGAGAATAGCGGTCTAATCTATACCCATCTGGCAGCTCCGACACCGCCTAATTATAAGCTGGGTCGAAACGATCCGAATTGGAAGAAGCCGCGCGGCGTTGAACAAAGAAATGCGGCGTTACGCTGGCTTCGGGAGAATCTGAAATCAACCGACAAAGGGATCGTATATTTCGCTGACGATGACAATACGTATTCCATCAAACTGTTCCACGAGGTAAGAACATTAAGGCTGCAAATGGTCACGAAACGGTTATGTAACGGCTGCTTGTTGCAGATGGAGAAGATACAGAAGGTCGGCGTGTGGCCGGTGGGTCTGGTAGGTGGTCTGATGGTGGAGAAACCGATGTGCGATAACATTACCAATAAGGTAATCGGTTTCAACGCTGCCTGGAAGCCTGATCGCCCGTTTCCGTTGGACATGGCGGGCTTTGCCATTAATCTGCGGCTTCTCTTGGAGAACAAGGATGCCCTCTTCTCGTACGACGTGGAAGGCGGTTACCAGGAAAGCGAAATACTTAAACACATTGTTACCAGGAATGAGCTGGAACCGTTGGCAGATTGTTGCACGAAGGTATAATTAATTTATATTTAACACATTGACGACCGCTTATCAGCGAATTTGTTCACTAAGCCTGGCACAAAAATACACGTTCAGTGGGCTTACAGAGTTTTTACTGTCTTCGATACTCCGTCAAATTAATCTTAATGCTCCCGAAAACTTCGTTATCTTATCCGTACCTACGTTATCAAGTGCGATTTAAAAATCAATAATCGTAAGACCAAGAACTTCCTGTTACCCAATAAAAAGAAGATAAAATTCGAGGAGTCAGATTTTGCAAAGTCGATCGTCAAAGTGTTAGGTTATGCAAAATAATGTTTGGTATTTTGTTCAAGGTATACGTGTGGCACACGAGAACCGAACCGCCTCAATTAAACGTGGAGCAATTATTGATAAAAAAGGGGAAACGATCGAACGTAGGCATCGAAGTGTGATAAAAGGATCAGGTATTTGGCGTATTTTAAAAACGTCAGAACTTATGCCATAATCGAGGATGTGATTTACAACTTAAACGAACAAATGGAACGGAACAATATTTATATACGCTCTTTTTATCATTTGCAACGTGGCTATGTAGTCGGTTCAATGAAAACAATAATGCAGTGCCATAACGCGTCGCTTATAGCTGCATATACGAGGATTTTTATTAACGCGATACTTGAATAAACGTAGAATGTGTGCATTGATAGTATGTATGAATAACGTTGCGCGGATATTGTTAACCTTTGCACGGTCTTTTATCTTAGATCTAGAAATTAAATTTCTACTTTCCCTGCAGCGTTTTGTTGTGGGAATAATAAAGCGCTCTTTAGTGTATTTGGTTGCGTAACAGTTCAATTTTTACGACACTATTTCTTATATAACTCGTGTTACAATTATATAATTATGATGACAATTGTATAATTGTGATGGCAATTGTATAAGTATAATTATAAGAGTGTAATCACAAAATGTATTTCAATGCAAAAATACGAACGAGTGTCGAATATACACCTCTCAGGAAAGTGATTGAAATAGTTTTCACGTTCACAATTAGCACAAAAATTTCGTAAGAATCGTACATATCAAAATTGAATTCTGTTAAGCAATTTAAGTTTAGAAACATTCTGAGATTTATTGTCGTTCTAAACGGTAAACGTTTAGCAAAAATTGATTTTTAAAAAGAGTCGCTTACAATGTTAAGTCACAAAAATCCACTGGCCGTGCAAGTGTTAATGTTTTACCTGTTTGAATCAAAGTTCTTTTACTTTTTATATGCCTGTTGGTGCAATATCCTTTTTTACACGACGAACAGTGCGTTTTATTATTCCGAAGGTTGTAACGAGAAATTAACGTTTGAATAAAGGAAAGTTTTAAACAAACAGAAAGCGTGTGGTGCGCGCAAGACTTCGAATCATTCGACCTTAAAAAATGTTCTTTATCCTTTATTAAGTCGAGTACGTTTTCTTCGACGCGTACAGAAAAAGCATACATAAAAAATATGCCTTACACCTACAAACTTGTAATAGTGTTGCTTTTTTTTAAACCTTTTCCGTTTTAAATTGGAAGATGCGCAGTAATACTTTTCGTGGGAAGCTATTTGGATTACGGATTTTGGCAACGAATATAAAATAGCTAGATAAACGTGACGATTTCTCGTCTTCGACCGAGTCACTAGATCTTGGTAACATCTCGGTGAAGCTTCGAAATCCTTTCGTGACGAACAATCCACCATCTTTCTCTCCTTCCCTTCCACATACAAGATCAGTTATCTGAGACTACGTTGAAATTTTTTCGAAGTTGCATTTAAAACTACTTCGAAGATACTTTAACTCGAGTCCTCAAATAACTCACCCTGTACATAGGGTGACTTAAAAAGAAGGATCCGAGACTTTTGCCACAAGCCTCTAAAGTCTTGGTACCTTTTCTTCTTAACACCCTGTATATACTTTTCGTGTATAATAATGTACTCGTTTGACTTACAAGCTAATAAGTACTATATATTTGGCAAAACTCTGTTTACGGTACGTAAAAAAGCTACCTCGGTGCAGAAAGTGTGTTCGCGAGCGAGGAAGCGTTTACGTTTTAATTTTAATTCAATCTTCTCGTTATAAGTACAGTGGAACCTTCATATTTTCTATTACAATTAACGTTTATCATCACGTAAGTTTGTCACGCATTAATTTCTTACTGTCCCTTTAAATACATGTGTTAAGGGGTTAGGGATATCTGTCTTCTTCTTTAGAAAGAAAATACAGGGGAAAATTATAATAAAATCATATTGATATTTTGGAAAAATAAATCCAAATTTACCATAAGATAAATTAAGATAAATATCGCCCCTGTTTGATAAGGTTACCATTTTAGAGCTCCTAACGCAAGAAAATATCGAGATTCTACTGTAGCCATACACTTAAGCAACCTTATTACGATAAATACAAAGAGAACCAACTTTTTCTTCAACCTGTCACAGTTGAACTCGTTCGTTCTTCTTGTCAGCGAACGCACTTTCCGTACCCGCATACAACAGTCTAAACTTACCGAACTCTCTTAAAATTATCTTCAATACTCCTTAAAGATTAGGAAAAACGTTTACAAGCATTTACAAAAACTTATCACATTTTTAACTGTTTTTTTTTTCTCGAAAAGCCATCTTACACGTTAGGACAAAACTGGTACTTTATATTCTTGAATACTATATAATTTATGTATATATATATATATATTTATATATGGCAGCTTTCGATTGTTCTCCGTCTTTTTTTTTATTTAAATATTCCAGAAATGAAACTTCTCTTGTTATACTGTCAGCAAGAATTTATAACTTACAATTTATTTCAAGCGAAAAAGAGTCCATCGAAGATGTCGCTGCTGTCGATTACACTATACACATATGCTTAGAGAGACTTCTAATTTGTTAAAAGATACAACTGGGACATACACTGATACGTCATCACGATCGACGCATCGAATAAAATTTCTTTTCAGTCCCTTTTCTTAAGTATCGTATCTTACAGTTTTATATTTTAAGTATACCGTTTCAGGGTTGCTTATCCGATCGCGACGACATACTCGTTAAATCATACATGATCGGATCATCGCAAAAACTGCTTTTTTTCTTACTTACATGGTAACCTACATATTAGAGGATATATAATAAACTTGACACTTTGACGATCTCTGTCACGTATTCGGAAATTTCGTATTTAATTTTACACTGATCCTAACTGCGAGTTGAAAACGAGTAATCTAGCAAGTTGAACGAAGGTCTCTGTTAAGTATAAAAACAACGACGCAAAATTGCACACAATCGTCAAAGTGTTAAGAAAACGTAAAACGTCAAAAAGACACTTGGGCTGCTCTCGCACGCGACGTAATCTTTACATTGTATAAAATGTACATACACGTTAAACTATCACGATAAATTATATCACGGGTAAACAAAGAACATGTCACACGAGATGTGTCCATCTCAAAATTAAGAAAAAGAACACAAGTAATCGCGTTCTGTACGATAGTCATGCTCGGTGAACAAGAGGGCAAGAGTCACATTGAAAGAACAAAAAGCTCTGCGACAAAGACACTTTTTTAGTAAACAGAAAATTGTTCATGATTAAGGAACACGCGTAGCAAATGCATTTTGTCATTGCGAACGAGTCGAAATAACCTTGTGTGACCTGAGTTATTGATCGTCGATGATAACTGGGGATACACGATTTCCATGAAGTTTCTTAAAGGAATCAGTCTTTGAAATAAAGTCGTACAATCACAAGAAATTCGAATTGTCTGAGGAAATTAACTTGTATCTGTGCCGTGGACTGTAGAGGGCAGTGATGGGCAAACGTGCTAATGGCGGACTGATTCATTTCTCAATTTGAAAATTTGAAAATAGTCTTAAATTTCTAGGCTTCTAGGTTTTCATAACTGTGGGTACTTGGCACTCCGGACAATCTTACGCTAATAGTGGAAATAGTCGAAACTCTGAATTTCTTAATCTCCAGATTCTCAAATTTTCAAATTCACAAATTTGTACATCAGATTCCCAAACTCTGGAATTTTTTAATTTACAAGTTTCCAATCCCTCGAATTTCAAATAGGTCAAATGTCCAAACTCTGAGTTCTCACATTTCAAAACCTCTACGTTAAAAATTTTTTCAAACTTCAAATTCACAAATTTTCAAGTTGCCAATGTCGCTTTCGTCCTACAGTGTATGCACTACTGCACATTAATTGCCCACGAGCCCTAGATCTGCCCATCACTGATATAAACACTCAGTGATTCTCGCTCAAGTATAGCGTGGTCCTAAATCAGTAAAAAACACCAGTGGTTCCCGATCAACCGTTCTTAAGAATGTCATCGCTTTTCGGACCCTTCGCATTTTCGACCAAGCTATAATTGAATTAGAACCACGACAATTGATGAATACACCATCAAACGTCATATGTACACAGGAACCGTTACAGAAGGTTCCTATCCCGTTCGTAACCTGCCTCGTAAACGGTGCATCGTAAAAGTCTTGTTACACGGTGTTCTCTTAATTATCGTAGAAGAAAAACGAGATTGAACAAGGAAGCTGTTTTCCCTGTTCCAGTTTCGTGCTGTGCAAAGGATAACACAGTACTACCCAGCGTACTAGACTGCGATTATCTAGAGGGTGCCTCGAAGCAATGGCCACTAAATTACCGACTGACTTCTACCAATTTCGCGATTAATTTTGTACAATTTCTCCTCGGTGTGAAAGCGATCTATCTAAACATCCCTCCTTGGCAACATTCGCTAAGTTACATCAACATCGATAGATTCTTTGCTCCTAGAACGATCTTGGGACACTGGTGGGAAACTGGGGAAAGGGGTTTATTTTGAAGTCCGGGTTACAAAATAGCTACAGAATCGTGGGGGTAGAATCGTGTTTGTACCGAACGAATTTGGCGAAGTGCAGAAGTTACGATAGCTAACATCTGCCATATCCTTAAGGACGCAGGAAATGGCGCACGATGTGTCGTCGAATCGCCACAAGATGGCGGCCGGTGCCGCGCCCGAGAAACGTATCTCGTTCCCGCGCAAATCTTCGCGCGAATCGTTTGAAAAAGGGAGAAGACTGACAACCGCGATACTCTCTGTTCCCTCGTACGTTTCGAGACAACGTTTCTACGGTGATTTACAATCTAGTACGCCGGAAGAATATCTAGACGGCTGAGTCTTTGCCGACGAAACCGGTCTTTGACACGGATCTCTTGCCGTCGAAGGTGATGGACGATTCCCGGCGCAGTCCCGAATCGATGATCGGCGTGATCTTCTTCTCTTCCTTCAGCGGCTCCTTCTCGTCTCTAAAATTGTTCAACAGAAAACATATTATTCTTGGAAAACTCGTCGAGTTCTTTAAGGTTACTTCTAGTACTGGGCAATAAAAAAAGAGCATGTCGAGAGATGCGGCGCGTGGTGCAACATCGATACGCATAGAATGCATGCCATCACTCGTTAGTTTCGTGTATTTGCAAATTGGGAATCTTCTTCAACGCGCTTTTTCGTTCAAGGTGACACTAGTTTCATTAAGTCTAAACGGGATTACCTACGGGGTTAAATCACCTTGAACAAAAGATTCGTCGCATCTTTGGAAATTTGACAGCTTTTTTATCAAATTTAAAGAATCATTTAAGTCTGTTTCCTTTAAGTTCCTTTTTATTCAATTTTTCTTTACAATATCTTTATGAATGACAAAATGGCAGCTTTGTCCAAGTAAATATATGTTCGATGTCCAAAGTATAAAATGATAAATGAATTTTGAAATTTTTGACACACAAATGAGCAAAACATAAAGATGAGCAAATTGCTATAATGTTATACGAATTCCTCGATAATTTCAAGTTTGAAGAGGTTATGAAAAAGAGTTGCTAATATGGTTTTATACTACAGAAACTGTTAGCAATTTCGGGTAATGTCGAGAAGCTAAACGTTATATCGTTAAGTACATAAATATTGCAAGAGTTCGTGTCACGATGCTGTTACGAACGAAACAGAATAATCTCGGATGATGCGGTAACCTCGCTTTATCACGGATGAAACTGAATTACCTACATCCATGATTCACGGCCGAATGGTACACAGGGTGAATTAGAGCGAGTGTTAGTGAGTATTTGCTACGTGGTTAACGAGCAATTAATAACACTTCAGAGTGTTGATATCTCATGCAGCATAGCCAAAGCACGGGCGAATAATGGCGATAGTATGCAGCGTGTGTCAAGAGTGATAGAAGGCTCAGAGTAACAGAGACAGAGAGAAGAAAAAAATAGAAATAGAAATCGGTGAACAATGTATAATACAATGTTGTTTTATGGAGAGTGGTTGGCGGTAAAATGGATGCACTGATGTAAAGAAAATAGAAAAGGACAAACAAACAAATCAGAGTTCTCTCATGCTGCAAATTCCATTGCTTAAAAAAATAAGCATTTTTGTAAAATATATATTTGTATATTTATTTCTGCCTTTTTGCAAATATTGTGTTCTCTTGGTAAAGTATTTTTTAGGTAAATGTCGTGAAGATTCGATACGTATTGATCCACTCGTGGTCGATCATTAGATCCGTGAAATTTAAACAATGCTTGAACCGAGAGTGGATCATAAGCGGACCGTGAATCGATAGCGCGAACTCGGAAAGTATCAGAGAACCGAAGATAAACAAATCGGATAAAGGGAGAGAGATAAAATGGATTGAAGAAAAGAAAAAAAAAAATATCATGCCAAGTAGAAAGCCGTGTCAGAACCCCTTCGAGGAGGGGCCATGCTTCTTACTGATTTCACTTATGTATCTCTCTTACATGGCAGTGTGTCTGACCAATCTAATGGTACTTTTTCCACTACCCGAGTCTTGGATGGCCGTGACCCCGGCGACATTGGCCATTTTTTGGTCGCAATACGGCAATGGAAACCGCCAACCGTAAAGACTACCGGTAAAAAAAAAGAGAGAAAGATGCGAGAGGATCAAAGTGTCACCTAATGGCGGGATAGTTAACCATGGAATATTGTATTATTTTCGCTGGTGGACAATTTATGACACCGGAATGGGGATGAAGGTGGAGGTCCAGTTCCGATTTATCGAGTACCAATTACTTTCATTAATATTATTATCATTATTAATATTAATACTTTCATTAATAGTTTCATTAAGTAAGTCGTTAAATCAACTTTCTATTCATAAATTTTAGTTAACTTGCAATTTTAGTCCCCTTGTATACAGTTGTTTCTTCTTGGAAGAAAAGGAGTTACATAAATTTATAGGCTCTTTATATTATTGGACAAAATATAATTACAGACAATATATAATTTTTAGTATTATGAATTTATAGGTATTTTATATTATTAGACAAAATATAATTACACACAATATATACTTTTTAGTTGTATAAATTTATAGGTACTTTATATCAATAGATAATATATAATTGCAGACAATATACATTTTTAGTTTTATGAATTATTAGGAACTTTATATTATTAGGCAAAATAAAAATTTATGTCAACTGCATTTCACATGAAATTCGATAGTGCAACTTGTCTGTACAACGTTGAATTTAGAAACGAAAACTGAAGATTCGACATTCGTTATTTTATTATTACCGAGTTTCATAGAAATAGGTAACGAACGAAGGGACGATTCGTTATCGATAATTACAACGAAGACGCAATTCATTAATTCATAGGAACTCGAATAATTTCAGTCCCCGACAAACCGGTACCAGATTACCGAGAGTACTTTAAAAATCCATCATTCCATCGACTAATTTGCACGTTAGTCACGGCTCCCGCGGGAATCTCGAATTCTTTCGACGAACAGAACGGAAGCGAACGAAAGAGATTCGCGTCTGAAAAGAGTACAGTGGATGGGAAATAAAAGTTCGATGACACGGTAAATATAGCGCCAAAGACTTGCCAAAGCACAATGTAATAATAAAATGTATGTAATGTATAAAGGAAGTCGAGTAAATTGAATGATCTATAATACCGAAAGAGGATGTCACGTGTGTAAGTGTGGCATGTTCAAAAAAGAGTGTGGAAGATGTAATTGAAGTGATTCTCACCTGCCGAGTTTCGCGTCCTCTTCGTCCACTGGTTTCCGGCGGGATCGCTCGCACACGTAATATATAATTCCTGCAATAAAAATTAAGGATATTACACTATGAATTCAATTATACAAAACTTAATATGAAATTATGTACTTATATGTTACATACTCAATGACAAAATTAATACGAAATTATATAAGTATGTGCTTTTTGTTTTACATAGTCGATGACAATATAACAAGACCGTGATTGCATCGAAGTGAAAAAGGAAGAGAATTGTACCTTGTAAAAAAGATACGAGTACTTTAAAGTATTTGGAGGTACTTTAAGAACTAGTCACCTAATTTTTCAATTAATAAAATGAAAGCAAATATCAAAATTTGTGTTTGCTCAGCACGGAACAGTTTTGACACGGAAGTTCGATTACCGTCGAAAATTCCGCAAACACGTGGAGTCGTAGTTTGGGATAAATCCAGGATACAATTTGAAACAAGTTTATGCCGGGTAAATTAGTGTTGTAATTCCGGATAAATCCGAGCTGTAATTTCAGGTAGATTCGCGGGCGCTAGTTCTAATAAATTCACGCCGTACTAGCGAACGTAATGTCGCTCCGCGATTTTAACGCTTTGATTTATGCTCACACGAATGAATTTACGTGGACATTTTAAACGTGGTAAATTGAATTTTTAATGAAACCGCCACGGCACACTTTCGCGTAATCTTACGCTGCGGTTTTGGACGCTGCAATTTTACGAATGCATTATGACCTCGGTTCGAATTGCGAGGAACGGAGATTTAACTCGAAATTGAAGTACGAAATGAAATTTCGTTTTAACACCTTGCCCTGATATATCGTTACGCACACTACGATACGTATGTGATAATTTCACTTCAATTTTGGGATTAATTTTAATTGTAGTCTGCGTAAGGATAGATGAAGATGTAACATTTTAACTTTCTTTATTTGCATCAATGTTGCAAGAATAATTACCTAGCTGTGACACAACCGTCTGAAAGACAGTTGAGGTTAGAAAATTTGAGGTTAAGGAGTTAACTCTTCAAGAGGATAAAATTTGAGGTTAAGGGGTTAAATTTTCAAGAAGATAAACCTTATAGACAGCTCGAAAATTTTGTATTCATATTTGGAAAATTAGAAATGATAAAAAAAGTAGTTCTTACCTGTTTTATGCGCGCAACAGCAAATTACGTCGATGATAATGATGATGACGAACAGTACCGCGATCACGATACCGATTATGGCTGCACTCGATATCAGAGGTGCTTGATGGTGGACCACGGTGGTGTCTATACCTTGAAGGATAAAAACAACACGTCAGACAAGATGTCGTTATATAAGTATGCGTTTTTTTGCAATCCGTTAGTGCAGAAGCATTACTTAACGTTGTTTGGTGATGACGAGGATAACATCACGGTTTTTTGTGAATAGTTTTAAATGCTTAAGATATTCATAGTCTTTCAGATTATCTGCTTTTGTTATGGAAATTGCGAGTTTCTGTCGATTCGATTAATCACGTTTGCTTTTCATGCACGGTGATGTTAGGAAATTGTGGGTTTCAAATTATTTTCTCAAGCTTTTGAGGTTCATGAATTTAGAAATTAAAATATGAAATTTACAGAGGTACAAATTTTCAAATGTAATTTTCTCGAAATTGTTCAAATTATTATCTTGAATGGAGAAATTCAGGGGTTGCTAAATTTACACATTTATTTATTAACTTTGAAATTTTTTAATTTAATTTTGTAAAGTGTACATATATTCTCAAATTCAGAAACTCCCACATTGTCAGATTTACATCCTAAAAATTCTCAAAATTAAAAACCTAGATATTCTCAAATTTAAAAACTTACAAATTTAGAAACTTATAAATTTTCAAATTTAGATGCTTAATTATCAAACTCGCACACGCAGAAATTTCCAAATTTCCAAACTTCCATCTGCACAAATTTTCCAAAGCACAAATGTCGAAACACAAAAGTGCCACCCCGCTAGTTCCGTTCTCACAAAATTTTCCACATAAAAAAGAACCAACTTTCGTCGATCACCAAACACGTTACGCGTACGATTAATTTTAGTCTCCTGAAAAGAAACAAGATCGGCAGGGGGCGAGGGTCGTTCCAGGGTAGGTGCCAAAAATCCGTTTTGAAGAAAGCACGCAAAAGTACGTAAGAAACGATACCAGAAACCAAACTGAAGAGAACCAAAGAAAATGACAGGCAACGCGTGTAGAATCAACGATGGTTGAACAAGCGATAAAGAGGAAGCGTGTTGTTAAAAAATAGAAGTAAAATTGTGCAAAAGACATGTACATATACAATGTATATAATATACCACAAGCACGAGAAAACATAGCTAATAAGAACACAGGCAACCAGAAGGGTGGTGCTGTCCTTCTGTCGGTGATAAAGGGTGGTGCTGACAAAGCTCAAGGAAGGGGGAAGAAAGCTCATTCGCTACCTTTCTCTCCCGGTTGTTAGTTAATTTTTTTTCTACGCGTCACTAATCTAAATGTGCTACCTTCACACAGAAAGCCTTTCCATTGAGTGCTTCTTTACTTTCTCTCCCACTCTCACGCTCGCTTTTTGGCTTGAAATGTCAACAGGGACTACTACGATATACATTATCGCTCGAAAGTATCTGATCATAATTAAAATTAGTTATCAATGTGATCATTAATAATATTTCATTCAATCAAATTTCGTATATACATACATTTATTGTGTAACATGTAACATGTGATAATTGATTAGACATTGAATGAGTTATCTTTAGTAATAATTAAAATAATTCTTCTTAACAATTAGAAAAAGTTCTAATAATAATTCAAATGTTTCTACATTCGCCTTCAGAGAAAATAGATAACTTCGTACAAAATTTTCTGAATGAAAAAATAGATTCTTATTATATCGCCACCTTTGAGGACCACAACCCAACTGTGTAATATTACACATTTCAGTAAAGTGTTCAAACTTTGAACTGGTTAAATTTTTGCCTAACTCGAACATTGCCAGTTGCAAGAGTTAGTGACGTCAGTGGCGATATAATGAGAGTCCATTAATCAAACACTATTTCATCAAGCATATGATCAAATAGTTTTGAGCGGTACTGTAGATTATACTTAGCAGATGTACACGTTACACCGTCGTTTTTCTTCAGTACCTGAGAATATTTACCGTCTTTTTTCCAAGCATCTCGCATCCTCGTGTTTTATTATTCGATTTCTTTACTTCTTTTTGTTAAACGGGTGAGCGGAAAATGAACGAGACGGCCGGGAAAGAAACCATCTCAAATTGTTCTGCCCGCTCGCTCGAATTTTCTACTGTGCCTCTTAACCCCTCGAAACAGCCCTTACATATTCCATATTCATGCTGACACGAAACTACTCTCTGTATTTCTCTCTCGGATTTAAATTTTCAGAATTGTCATTTTCAATCAGTTAAATTAAACTTCATAAAACTAAGAATTTCTTATTTCATAAGTAAGAAAAATTTCATATTATTTTTTATTGGTTAACCGAGCTGTTCGATAGACTCTCGTTATATTGCCAAAAAGCAGCTGAGGAAAATTCATGTCTCATCAACGAAAAAGTTTTGGTTGATTGTACTGACTGATTTTGGAGTCTGACTGAAACATGCAATATAACGAGAGCCCACTGTACTGTATCTACAAACGATTTTATTTTTTAAAAATCTCAGAACTTTTCTGATGAACTTCATCGATTGTAAAGTCACATTGTAATTTCCATGTTCAAACTGATTTTGGAGTCTAACTGAAACATGCAATATAACGAGAGTCCACTGTACTGTATCTACAAACGATTTTATTTTTTAAAAATCTCAGAACTTTTCTGATGAACTTCATCGATTGTAAAGTCACATTGTAATTTCCACTTTCTGACTGATTTTGGAGTCTAACTAAAACATGTAATATAATGAGAGTCCACTTTGTATCCATAAACGATTTTATTTTTTAAAATTCTCAGGACTTTTTTGCTGAACTTCATCGACTGCAAAGTCGAAAGAAAATTAGAACAAAATTGAAGGGCTATTAAGGGGTTAATCAGCGCTGAAGTTAAGATACGCAGAATCCCTATATCTACACGTATGGTTAAATCTAAATAATTGCCGAATCTTCAATGCTCATCTCCCATCGGAAAACTCTTGGATTCCTGCGGGAGCGGAAACAATTTGAAGGTGGCTTCTCCTTAGGCTGATTCATTGGTATTGTATTTCTTAAACACTCACAATTATATATATTTCCGTACGTCATATTTACAATAATTGTTTCACAAGGAAACCGTGTGTGTTTATCCTCGTCATATATATATTTATATAATACGAACGTGTATATATATTAGGCACTAGGCTAGCACATTATTCTTGCACGCATTTAAACCTTATCTCTTGTCTATTCATATGTATATATACGTTCTGTACATGCACACGTGTACATCGTAAAAGGATTCACAAGCTTTACCTCGTTTACATGTACTCATTCAAACACAGTTGGAATTTGTAAATCTAAACGCTGGACCTAACACGTGTAACATTGTATTTCTTTCTTGCCTGTTTATTCGTTGTAAATTTCTTTATCTATTCATATTTATACGTACGTGGACATATCGCGTACGGATCGCGAGTGTGTTAACCTGTTAACTGGGTTCGAATATGATAATTAAAGTATCGTAATAGAAAGCGAACGAAGAAGTCACTTTTTTACAAAAGTGAAACTTTCCTTTTAATATAAGAATTGATACAATTAAAGGCACAAATCTTTTGACAAACGTTATACCGTCGTGAGACTTAACTTTCAACTGACGAGTCAGTCCCGATTAACAGGTTAGGAAGCATTCCGATGGAATACTTGTGCTTAATACGTAACACTGTTTTTTGTATACTTTTAGTAACATTTTATGTTTATAGTACATTGTGGGTGCAACGTAGGTTCACTTTGGTTAGGGGAGAGGGCGTCCATCTTGAAAGATAGGGAAATCCGAGGAGGGTCAAGGGACAATTCCCTATTTCACAGTCTTATACATTAAATTTTTCAATTCATAAATTTTTCTAATTTTCACATTTCCGAACTCTCATACCTCAAATTTTCTGATTTTCCCAAATTTCTAAATTTCTAAAACTCCATATATTTTAATTTCCACATTCTTAACTTTTCACACCCCAAATTCCCATATTTTCCAAATTCCAAAATTTCTAAAATTCCACATATCGCATTTTCCACGTTCTCAACCTCTCACACCTCAAATTTCTCCATCCCCCAAATTCCAAAATTTCTGAAATCCCACATGTTATAATTTCCACGCTCTCGACTTCTCACGCCCCAAGTTCCCTCGTTTCCCAAATTCCAAAATTTCTAAAATTCCACATATAGTCATTTCCACATTCCCAAACTCTCACACCCCAAATTTCCCCATTCCTCAAATTCCAAAATTTCTGAAATCCCACATATTGTAATTTCCATGTTCTGGAACCCTCACACCCCAAATTCCTTCATTCCCCAAATTCCAAAATTTCTAAAATCCCACATATTCTAAATTCCACATTCCCAAACTCTCACATCCCAAATTTCCCCATTCCTCAAATTCCAAAATTTCTGAAATCCCACATATTGTAATTTCCATGTTCTAGAACTCTCACACCCCAAATTCCAAAATTCCTAAAATCTCACATATTGTTATTTCCACATTCCCAAACTCTCACACCCCAAATTTCCTTATTCCCCAAATACCAAAATTCCCCAAATTCTCAAACTCTCAAATCTCCACATTCTCAACTTCTACACCCCCAAATACAAAAACCTTCAAATTCCAAAACCCCAACTTTCCGAAATATAGACAAACCCTAAAACCAACATTCGTCCGAATAAACCTTGGCCTACATTTCCACCTACACTTTCCCTACACCCCAAATCCCTAGGGAAATCAACCCTCGATGTCGTATTTATTAAACAAAATTCAAATTTTGCCACGAACTAATTAAACACACCACGAAGATATTTTATTCAATGTTCAGTGTTTCTATTCATGTCCTCTAGTCTGTCAAATACATAGAGGTTATTCCGCGAAAGTAAGGATCGTTTCAGCGTAGACGGTGATCATTTCGAGTCGTCATTAAAGGAAAAAGGCAGAAAAGAAATCGTAGCTATCGGTGTACTGCGATTGACAGGGTCTTTTCTGGCTTGTTATTAGTACGCGCTGTTACGTGGGTATAGGTGGCATTGCGGAGAGAAATATCCGATACACGAGGGGGTTGAAAGAAGTGACGTGCCTCGGTGAAAT